CAGCTGCCTCCTGCACGCCCCCTACTGGGGATGTGCCCGCAACCAAGGTACATGCCCTTGACCGGAATCGAACCTGGGACCCTTGAGTCTGCAGGCCGACACTCTATCCCAGCCGTTGGCAAACTATGGCCCGGCCCCAGCCCATTTGAAATGAATAAAACTAAAAAAAAAAAGACTGTACCCTTTTATGTAATGATGTTTACTTTGAATTTATATTAGTTCACACAAACACTCCATCCATGCTTTTGTTCCGGCCCTCCGGTCCAGTTTAAGAACCCATTGTGGCCCTCGAGTCAAAAAGTTTGCCCACCCCTACTCTATCCACTGAGCCAAACTGGTCAGGGCTAACGACAAGGTTTTCATTATGGATTTTAAACTTGAGTCCAGAACTCTTTTCATTAAATATATGGAACTAATCATAACATAAACATTTTTATTAGCTAGAATTCTAATCTACAACAATTTCAGAAAATGTCAATTTGAATTTGGACTTATGATAACCATTCATTGAAGCCAGAAAATAAGGAACAGGTTTTTCTCTAAGTAACACTGCTCGTTTAAGCTAATCAGAGCTCACACTGACTTTATTTTTTCCTCTCTAAGGATTGCTTTGGCTAATTGGGGTCTTTTATGGTATCATACTACAAATTTAGGATGTTTTGTCCTATTTTGTTCTAAAGATAACTTTGGTATTTTGATAGGGATTGCCTGGAGTCTGTAGATTGCTTTAGGCAATATGCACATTTTATTTTATGGTATTTTTTTATTGCTTAAAGTATTACGAAGAGTATTACATATGTCTCCTTCCCCCCTCCCCCCCATCCCTTGACCTTCCCCCGGCCTCCCCTACGTCCCAGTGTCTTGTGTCCATTGGTTATGCTTATATGCATGCATACAAGTCCTTCGGTTGATCTCTTACCACCCTCCCCAACCCTTGCTGGCCTTCCTGCTGTAGTTTGACAGTCTGTTTGATGTTTCTCTGCCTCTGTATCTATTTTTGCTCATCAGTTTATAATGTTCTTTATTATCCATAAATGAATGAGATCATGTGGTATTTTTCCTTCTCTGACTGGCTTATTTCACTTAGCATAATGCTCTCCAGTTCCATCCATGCTGTTGCAAATGGTAAGAGTTCCTTCTTTTTTACAGCAGCGTAGTATTCCATCGTGTAGATATACCACAGTTTTCTAATCCACTCATCAATACGCACATTTTAATAATGTGAATTGTTCCAACCCATGCACACAAATGTCTTATAGTTTTCAGTGTGTAGGCCTTTCCTGCCTTTCCTCTCCTTCGTAAGTTTATTTCTAGGCATTTTGTTCTTTTCATTGTGATCATACAATGGGATTGCTTTTTTTATTTTTTCTTTCAGATAGTTCATCGTTAGAATTTAGAAACACAACAAACAATTTCTGTATATTGATTTTGTATCCTGTAACTTCATTATATTCATTTATCATTATTTTTTTTGTGTGTTTTGGTGTTCTTTTTTTGTTGTTGTTGTTGTTTTTTTTTGCTGGAGTCTTTAGGTTCTTCTCTATATAACTAATATATGACGTATGTGCAAACACTGACAGTTTTACTTCACTTAGTTAATGTGGTGTTTCACATGGATTGATTCTCTCATGTTGAGCCATCCTTGCATGCCTGGGATGAATCCCACTGGATTGTGGTGTAAGATCCTAACAATGTGCTGCTGTATTTGATTTGCTAACATTTTTTTTTTTGAGGATTTTTACATCTAGGTTCATCAGCGATATCAGCCTGTCATTTTATTTGTTGATGTTATCCTTACCTGGGTTTGGTACCAGGGTCAGATTGGCCGCGCACAATGAGTTAAGAAGCATGAACTTTCTGGAAGAGTTGGAAAGGGGCAGGTATTAAATCTGCTTGGAATGTTTGGTAGAATTTACCAGGAAAGCCATCTGGTCCTAGTGTTTTGTCTTTTGGGGAGGTTTTGATTACTGTTTTAATTTCTTTACTATTAGTCCATTCAGGTTTCCTAATTCTTCATGATTTAATCGAAGAAAGTTTTATTATTCTAAAATTTTGTCCACTCCTAGGTTGTCTGATTTGGTGGCATGTAGCCATTCATAATGGCTTTTATAATCCTCTGTATTTCTGTGGTAACAGTTGTAAATTCTTTTATTTATTTTAAACTCGCTAATATACTTTGAAGCCTCTCTTACCTAAATTTATTCTCTTAAGAGGACAATTCATCATCATAATTTTAAGACATCTTAATATGTGACAATTTGTCTCAATAAATGTCATGACATTTCTATTAATACATATATATTTGTGTTTTTAGAATTTTATGTATGTATATGTAGCATTATTTAGGCAATTAAAAACAAGTAGGCCTTATATATCATGGTGACTATAGTTAATAATACTATATTGTATATTTGAAAGTTGCTAAGAGAATAGATCTTCAAAGTCCTCATCATAAGAAAAACATTTTTTATAACTATTTGTGGTAATGGATGTTAAGGAGACTTGATGTTAACTAGACTTATTGTGGTGATCATTTTACAACATATACAAATATTGAATCATTTACTAATGTTATGTGTAAATTATACCGTAATAAAAGAAGGCCCAATTGGCATGGCTCAGTAGTTGAGCATTGACCTATGAACCAGGAGGTCACGGTTTGATTCTCGGTCAGGGCTTGCAAGCTTGCCCGGGTGCAGGCTTGATTCCCTGTGTGGGGCGTTCAGGAGGCAGCCAATCAATGATTCTCTCTCATCATTGATGTTTCTATCTCTCTCTCCCTCTCCCTTGCTCTCTGAAACCAATAAAAAATATATTTTAAAAAAAGAAACATCAATGATGAGAGAGAATCATTTTGGTTGCCTCCTGCATGCCCCCACTGGGGATCGAGCCCACAACCCTGGCATGTGCCCTGACTGGGAATCAAACCATGGCCTCCTGGTTCATAGGTCGATACTCAACCACTGAGCCATGCTGGCCGGGCTCTGTGACTTCTTACTGACTTCGGATTCTTGTGTCTCTTCCTGTGGTCTCCCTGGGCGTGGGCTTACCTCTCTGAGCTATCCATCTTGCTTAATTCTTTGAAATAAGTCTACAAAAAAACCTACTTATTGAAAGTACTTATTATACATTCGAACACAGATGAGCAAGGGATCTCGTTTCCTTAGGCCTGGAAAAGAATTCCAAACCAATGGCCTTCTTCCCAAGGCTGTTTTGTGTGCCACCTTTAGTTATTTGTTTATTTATTTCAGTCAGTTAAGCATGATTGTGTTTAGGTTATGTACTTCGACTGTAGTTGAATATCCTTTTCCTCTCATATTCAAAACCTTGAATTCACAGCACGAAAATCCAGCCCTAGCTGGTTTGGCTCAGTGGATAGAGCACTGACTGAAGGGTCCCAGGTTTGATTCCAGTCAAGGGCATGCACCTTGGTTGCAGGCTCGATCCCTGGCCCTGGTCAGGATGCATGCGGGAGGCAACCCATCCAGGTATCTCTCTCTCATCGATGTTTCTCTCTGTCTCTCCCCCTCCCTTCCACTCCCTAAAAATCAATGGAAAACTATCCTTGGGTGAGGATTAAAAACAACAACAGCCCTAACCGGTTTGGCTCAGTGGATAGAGCATCAGCCTGCAGACTGAAGGGTCCCAGGTTCGATTCCGGTCAAGGGCATGTACCTTGGTTACGGGCACATCCCCAGTAAGGGGTGTGCAGGAGGCAGCTGATCGATGTTTCTCTCTTATTGACGTTTCTAACTCTCTATCCCTCTCCCTTCCTCTCTGTAAAAAATAAATAAAATATATTTTAAAAACAACAACAACAGACAGAGCATGGAAGTCCATACCTTACGGAGCCATCGACAGAGGCTGTCAGCACCAGTTGTTTGTCTTCTACGTAGATCGCTTGAACAATTTCTAAAGAATGAGCACGCCAGGCAAGCAGCTGCTTGAATTTCTAGACGGCAACGATAAAGCACACGTACCTTGGAATAAGTATGTGCTGATTAAAGTTCAAGCTTGAGCAAACTATTAATCATTAAAGAGCCCGGCTTAGGAGCTCTTAAAATATATTAACATAAATATTATATTAATTATATACTAATATAATATTAATATAAATATAAAAATGTATTAATGGTGCGGGCATGTGTGGAAGATGATGGTGCCCCTGCCCCAACGAGCTCTTCTTTTGCTTGGTAAGGTCTCAAAAATTCCATTTTTAGCCTGGCTGGTGTGGCTCAGTGGTTAAGTATCGACTTATTTACCAGGAGGTTTGATTCCTGGTCAGGGCACATGCCCAGGCTGTGGGCTTGATTCCCATTGCGGGGCGTGCAGGAGGCAGCCATTTGTTGTCTCTCTCTCATTGATGTTTCTACTCTCCTCTCCCTCTTTTTCTCTCTCTCTCTCACTTCCTCTTGGAAATAAAAAAATATATATTTTTTTAAATTCAAGTTTTAGATGTTTGATAATCTATACAGATCCCTGGAACAGAAAGTACCTTATGTCTTTAGAAATTTATCATTTAATTGAGATTAGCAATTCATTTAGTTGAAAATTACTAAATGACTCGCTGGAAGAACAGAACAGCCTTAGGATAAAGGCTGTGGGGGAACTCGGGGAGAACGTACTCAGGAGCAGGAGCAAGCAGAGTTGGAAGGTGGAGACTAAAGGAGAGAGTGACAAAGAGACTTTTCCTATTGTAAAATTTTATCCAGGTATATTTAGTTATTTTTGTTGGTGGTATGTGTGTGGGGCGTGGGGGTCTGTATATAATAACTCTAAAACACAAGGAATTAACAAAAGAAACAGGCCCAGCTCATTCTCTTTCAAAGACATCCTGATGTTTGACTGGTAAGTTCCTTCCGGACGTGGCTTATTCTCAACTCTAGGAGCTCCTACTCAGGCCACAGAAGACATTGCTTACTTGTTGAACTGGAGTGTCAATTGCAGACCGCTCTGCAGTCACATGCCCATAGAGCAGCGGTTCTCAACCTGTGGGTCGCGACCCCTTTGGGGGTTAAACGACCCTTTCACAGGGGTCGCCTAAGACCATTGGAAAACACATATATAATTACATATTGTTTTTGTGATTAATCACTATGCTTTAATCATGTTCAATCTGTAACAATGAAAATACATCCTGCATAGCAGATATTTACATTATGATTCATAACAGTAGCAAAATTAGTTATGAAGTAGCAACTAAAATAATTTTATGGCTGGGGGTCACCACAACATGAAGACCTGTATTAAAGGGTCACAGCATTAGGAAGGTTGAGAACCACTGCCATAGAGTGTCTATGAAGATATAAAAGATATAAAAACTGCCTGTGGAGGGCTAAATGATGGATAAGCTCTTTTAAGCTCTGGGTTTCTTCATAGATTCTCACAAATAAGTGAAAACATGAAGTAGAGCCCTAGCTGGTTTGGCACAGTGCATAGAGCGTCGGCCTGCGGGCTGAAGGGTCTAGGTTTGATTCTGGTCAAGAGCACATGCCCAGGATGAGGGCTCAGACCGTGCAGGAGGTAGCCAATCAATGATTCTCTCTCATCATTGATGTTTCTATCTCTCTCTCCCTCGTCCTTCCTCTCTGAAATCAATAAAAATGTATTTAAAAAACAAAATAAAAAAAAACACACCATGAAGTAGGTGGAAAATGACCCGCTCACTCACTCACTCACCCACTCCTTTCCCCAATAGACCAGTGTTACTTGTCATGTGGCTTAAGCTTCCTAGTAGTCTACATGACAGGAGAGTAGGGAGTCTTGGCTTGGAGATCTTTCATGATGTCTACCACAGAGACATCCATATGCGCCGATTCACAAGTTAGACGAAGACTAAAGTCTTACCTTTTCATCATGAGGCGGATCCAGGAAGGAGCTAACACTGCAAAGGATCACGTGTCCTTCTGTATAAAATGTAAACATCGCACTATGTAATTGAGTATTCTGTTGTCCAAGTCCATGCTACCTACACTGCCATGGCATTTACAACAGCAAATAAAGTAGAATCTGAGGAAGCAGCAGTGAAAGAAGAAATTTCGTATCAACTTTTATATGTGGCAATTCTTTTCTGTTTCTGGCTTAATAAGTCAAAATGAGGTTGCCTTATACATTCAAAGTCAAAGCTCTTCTAGACATCAAGGTAGATGAAAGAGAGGTGAGTATACAAGGACCAAATGAAGCCCAAATGGTTATGACGATAATTGTCCTACAATCCAAATGATAGTTGTAACAACTAGATTTAAAAAAAGCAACTGCCGAAACCGGTTTGGCTCAGTGGATAGAGCATCGGCTTGCGGACTGAGGGGTCCCAGGTTCGATTCCGGTCAAGGGCATGTACATGGGTTGCGGGCACATCCCTAGTGGGGAGTGTGCAGGAGGCAGCTGATCGATGTTTCTCTATCATTGACGTTTCTAACTCTCTATCTCTCTCCCTTCCTCTCTGTAAAAAATCAATAAAATATATAAAAAAAATAAAAATAAAAAAGCAACAATGACTACACCGAGGCACATCATATTCAAACTGCAGACACTCAAACATAAAGAAAAAAGCTTGAGAAGCCACAGGGAAAAATTTCACCTTATTTATAGAGAAGTAAAGATAAGAATTGCATCTGACACCTGGAAATCATGTAAGCAAGAAGAGAATGGAGTGAAATATTTAAATGTTGAGGAAAAACCCCCACCAACCTAGAATTCTGTGTCCTTAGAAATTATTCTTCAAAACTGAAGGAGAGCCCGGCCGGTGTGGCTCAGGGGTTGAGCATGGATGGACCTGGGGAGCATTATGCTAAGTGAAATAAGCCAGTTAGAGAAGGACAAGTACCATACGGTTTCACTCATATGTGGACTCTAACTAATAAAATAAACAACCAAACAAAATGGAAATAGACACAGAGATAGAGAGCAGACTAACAACTGTCAGAGGGGAGGGGGGTTGCAAGGCTGGGTTAAAAAGGTGAAGAGATTAAGCAAGAAAGAAAAAAACTCAGATACAGATAATAGTATAGTGGTTACCACAGATAATAGTATAGTGGTTACCAGAGGGGAAGAGGGTGGGGGGAGATGGCAGAAGAGGGTGTGGGGACAGGTGGGGATAAATGGCGATGGAAGGAGACTTGGGGTGGTGAACACACAATACAACATACAGTTGATGTGTTATAGAATTGTACCTCTGAAGCCTATATAATTTATTAACCAATGCCACCCAAAGAATAAATTCAATAAAAAATAAAACAAACAGAAAAACACCAAAAAGAATATCATTACATTAAAGAATTAAGATCAGCTATATTAGTTATTAACAATAAGTATAAAATAGAATCTCCTATTGAGAACCGAGACTTCCTCTCTGTTCATGCCACTTCTCCCTTTAATAATGAAGACTTAATGCAACACAACCCTTTCAAGGTTAAAAATGAAAACTTTATATTCTCCCCAATAGGTAAGGTCAGGGTAGTCCTGTATGCATCTTAAAGATGGAAGAAATAGAATGTCTTACTGTAAGGAAATAGGAATGAGATAGGTGTTCACATCATTGACTGTTCTGTCCATTCAGCAAGCTATCCTTGGCACTCTCGACACCTCTTCTCATTTTTGAGCATCGCTCTTATTCCTTTGTATGAACGCATGCCACATATTTTCCTTTTTTATATCTTGTAGGTTAGGACAGCCAACTACATGAAGACGATGACTTACCTACGTTGCTGGTCAGCAGGATCCGGGAACAGGAATCGGTGTTCAGTGATGTCAGGGAAATGGCAGAATGTTTTGTAAAAGGCAGCATGTCTTTTAGCAGTCGTCCCTGCAGAAAGTATAACCACAAATTCCGTAAACTATTCATGTGGGAGTTGAGTTTCTCTATAGGTAGCCTACCTAAAAAATGATCTCTACCACCAAAACATGACCCTATGTGTAGTAGAAGTAATTTGAAACTACCCATAGGAAATTAAATATTCATGAAGGTGTAGACAACTATTCATGATTGGCCTCTGGACTCTGATTATTACAGAGCATTTGGGGGTTGATTTCTGTACTTCTCCTGACCCTCATCATGCTGTTCCTCAGATCTCTTTTTCAGTTACATATTATTTTATTTTATTTTTTTATTATTATTTTTAATTTTTTTTTTGCAAAGGTGGAAATTTTATTGAAGAACAAGTACAGACTCCCACATGGGGAGGGGGAACGAGTCCCCCAGTTACATATTATTTTAAACAAACATTCTTTACAGGCTTACGTGCATCTCACTTGTTTTATTTTATTATTATTATTATTTTTTAATCTTCAGCCACTATTTTTCCATTGATTTTTTTTTTTTTTTTAGAGAGAGTGGAAGAGAGAGTAAAAGACAGAGAGAAACATCCATGTGAGAGAAACACATCAATTGATGGCCTCCTGTATGTGCCCTGATCAGGGCCCCGGCTGGGGAGGGGCCTGCAACCAAGGTACGTACGTACGTGCTCTTGACTGGAATGGAACCCGGGACCCTTCAGTCCGCAGGCCAACACTCTATCCATTGAGCCACACTGGCCAGGGCTCTTCCTCATCCTTTGCTATGCCAGGTAAATAGTGGGCACATCACCTCGATAGTCCACAAGCGCAGGTGGCCGTCCTCGTGAGCGGTGACCAGGACAGGCGGCTGAGGTTCGGCCACACCGATGCTTGCAACGTGCTTTTTGTCAGCTGGCTGTTGCTCCCCCTCAATGATATCCGTTTGCTCACCTACGGGAAAATTAATGAGCTGCCACGGTGCGGGCAACACTTGGAATTCAAAGTCTTCTGGAACACAAGTAGAAAATACCCAAAACAACACATTCTTTTCCCTAGAATTTTTTTTTTAACCCAAGAGAGTTTCAATCAGGGCAGAGAACAACACGGCATTAGCAAATGGACTCCCAAATCGCTGGGAAAACCTGAGAGCTTGCTTTTGGTCCTGTTGCATAGCCTCTTCACTGTACATGACCGCTAAAACCACGTAAACGTCCAGCTCAAACCTTACACATACAGAATGGCTTATGCATCTAGTATCAGTTTCAGAGGAGATTAAGAGGCACAGTTATCTATCTATCTATCTATCTATCTATCTAGATATATTAAAAGTGTAATATGCTAATTAGACCAGACGTCCTTCTGGATGACCTTCCGGACAAAGCTGGGGCTGCGAGGGAAGCCCGCGTCCAGGGTGCCAGAGGAAAGCCGGTGCCGATAGAGAAAAAAACGCAACATTGATTTGTTGTTCCACTTATTTATCCATTCATTGGTTAATTTTTGTCATGCCCCCCACTGGGGATCAAACCCACAACCTTGGCAATATGACCTTGACCAGAATGGAACCCGGGACCCTTCAGTCCACAGGCCAACGCTCTATCCGCTGAGCCAAACCGGCTGAGGCACAAAGAAATAATTATAGAATAAGGGAGTGAGGTGACTTCATACTGACCTTTGCCCTCGCCGTCATGTATGCTCTGCTTGCTTCCCTGGATTAGGGGAGAAAAAGAAGGTGTTTCTAAGACATTGTCAGGAAATGAGATATCCTGGATCAGTAGACACTTCAGATAACTGATACATTGCTAAGCGTTAAACTTATTTTTGGATTAATTCTTTGAAATACATATTGAGAGATTTTCATGTTCCTGAATTGGGTTATCTGTGACACAACTTCCTCCTAGTGGCTCAGAGATAGCATAATAGCGAGAGTAATTAAATGCCCAATGCATGCCCATTCGTGGTGTACATTATTTTGAATTTTATTAACCACCATGCATGTGGGTGTTATTATTTCCATTTGTTCATCATTTTCACTGATGAAGAAATGGAAACTCAGAGATTAGGGCTGTCTCTAAAGCTAATCAGATAAATCAGAACACTTGGATTCAAGTTCAAGTCTATCTGACTCCTAATATTCTCATAAGTTTATTCTTTCCACCATGCTAGTGGTTTTTAATTAATTTTTGCAGTGAAAACTCCCCTTTAAACAAAATCCTAACTAGAAGTGTTACGTGTAAACATACGTAAAATTGTAACTGAAAACACAGTTTGAAAGCCAAACATTACACTGTGTTGTCTCTTCCCCCTGTGAAATGTATGGAATGCATTCAGCAAAACCGTCTAAAATTATTTTATCAATGAAAAAGTAGCATCTGTAATTTATTTTATTCATGATTATGTATTGATTATTTGAAGTAATGAAAGCCTTCAGAAATAGGGAAAAATGGATGAAATCAGTTTAGACATTGCTTTTTAGAAAAAAAAACTTTTACATACATACACACACACAGAAATTTTTTTCCCCTTTACTTCTTAAGAATATTTTTTTAGAGAGGGAGGAGGGAACAGGGAGAGAGAGAAACATAGATGTGAGAGCGCAACATTCACTGACTGCCTTCTGATCCTGAGCCTGCAACCTTTAACTGGGAATCAAACCAGCAACCTTTTGGTGGACGGGACGGCACCCAACCCACTGAGCCACCCCAGCCAGGGCCCCTTTACCTTCTATCGAAGGAAGGGCGAAAATGCAACCAACCCCGATTTTTGAACCAACACTGGGTGTAAAGGTTAAGACACACTCTCCCTATTTCTTGCTTACCTTGCTGCTCTGAGGACCCTTACTAGAGTCACACTGGGACGAAGAGCATACGGAATCCTGACTTGTCTTCCTGTAAGGAGAGAGAGGAAGCCCAAAGAGGAAACATTAAGGTTCTTTCCTACTCAACAGGTGCTCTTCTCTGCTTTGATTTCAGTTCATTCTCTGATACTTCTTTCACCCTCTGTAGACACTGAGCCGCTCACGTATAAAACAAAGCACATCCCATATCTTGTGTCACAAATGCTCATCTGCCTGGTGTTGGTGGGGGCTGTTGGGGAGCCCCAGGAATTCAGGTTCATTGCTGCCTGGTCTGGGAACGAAACAGCTGCCTGTCCCATGCCCAAGGCTAGATGCAGTCCCAGAGGTTCTGACACGGCGTCTAGTGGTGGGAGTGGGTGGGGTAGGGGTGGGGCCCTGAGTAGCCTGGCTAACTTCTACTCTACAGTTTCCGTTCTGGCCTGGTCTGCTCTGTGACGCTGCTGGAATGGGCTGAACAGTGCCTTGGGGTCTGGGGCAAGCATATCCACAGCAAGTCCTCAAGATCTTCTCAGAGTAAGGAACTCCAAGCCAACGGAATATATTCTGGCTCACCTCTGGGTGACCCAAAACTGGCATAGAAACATTTTTTTTAAAAAATATTTTTTTTATTGATTTCAGAGAGGAAGGGGGAGATAGAAACATCAATGATGAGAATCATTGATTGGCTGCTTCCTGCACGCCCCCTACTGGGGATTGAGCCGGAAACCTGGGCATGAGTCCTGACCTGGTTCATAGGTCAATGCTCAACCACTGAGCCAAACTGGTCAGGCTAGCATAGAAACTGTTGACTTCTCTTCAGAGAGGTGTTTACCAAGGCCTACGAATGGAAAACTAGAACCATAAAGCAAATATAAAGAGAAAAATACTTTCTCTTCAATATTTATTTATTTTAAAATATATTTTATTGATTTTTTACAGAGAGGAAGGGAGAGGGATAGAGAGTTAGAAACACTGATGAGAGAGAAACATCGATCAGCTGCCTCCTGCACACCCCCCACTGGGGATGTGGCCGCAACCAAGGTACATGCCCTTGACCGGAATCGAACCTGGGACCCTTCAGTCCACAGGCCGATGCTCTATCCACTGAGCCAAACTGGTTAGGGCCTCTCTTCAATATTTAAATAATGATCTCTCGCTCTCTCCGAAATGGATGATGATTGCTCGGTTTTATTGGAGGCCATATGAGACCCGCTGCCATTTGATCTGTCTGCGTCACATCCGTGCTCCCAGAGTTTGATTTTGGCTACAAGTGTGGTCAAGTGAGCATGTCCCCTCTTTGCTACTGTTGTAAAGGGTGCCGTGGGTCTGACCGAGTGAAGGAAATGACATTCCCACACAGCAAACTGGATCCCCGGGGACCATCCGCTACAAAACCCAGTGACGGGGGAAGAAAGCTGAAGCCAGGCAGTCTACCCACGTGTACCTTCCCTCACGTGTACCTTCCTTAAGGCTGGGATGGGGAGAACCCTTTTGATGTCACCCGCGTAAGACTCAGACCGCATTTCTCTCTCAGTAAGTACCAAGTTACCTTGCACACTCAAGGGTACGGAAGAGGAACGTGATGTCATTAACTCTATAGCGTTTGGGATCCAAGTCAAGATTCACAGTGAAGCAATCTTCAGGTCTGTACCTGGGAAGAAACATACGTGTACATGATAAGCCTGTAAGAATTAGGTAACTTACATGCCTTACATTACAAATCCCACGCAGAGCTCACCAACTCCTAAAATGTTGATATCAACATGAATAGAAAATCTAGAGGTATATAGCATTTGAACATATCTTTTTTTAATAAGGCTCTGTGTAGCGACACAAACATTGAGTGTGTAAAAGTCCTTTAATTCAAGTGGTTGGTCTATTCTTCCTACTTGTAGGTCAGGGAGTGGGCTTCTGTAATATCCTGGAAGTTTCATAGGATTTAAAGGTTAGAATTCCAGCCCTGGCCGGTTTGGCTCAGTGGATAGAGCGTCAGCTTGCAGACTGAAGGGTCCTGGTTCATTTCCGGTCAAGGGCACGTACCTTGGTTGCCGGCACCTCCCTCGCCTGGGCCCTGGTCAGGGCACGTGCAGGAGAAAACCAATCAATGTGTTTTTCTCACATCAATATTTCTCTCTGTCTCTCCCTCTCTCTTCTACTCTCTCTAAAATAAAATAAAAAAATCAATGGAAAAATATCCTCGGGTGAGGATTAAAAAAAAAGGTTAGAATTCTACTCTTTGAACAAGTAGAGTGATAAATTTGAATAAAATATAGTTATTGCCAGCAGGGAACTTAGAACAGAGTGGAGAAGATAAGCAGGGAATTCAGTGATTATGCTGCTCTTGCTACTGGAGTCTCCCACTGACCCAGATTCCAAAGAATTGAACACCTTCCCAGGCAGTTTCCACTGGCACTTCATGTTCAGTTCCTTTTAAAAAATATATATTTTTATTGATTTCTGAAAGGAAGGGAGAGGGAGAGAGAGAAACATCAATGATGAGAGAGAATCATTGACTGGCTACCTCCTGCATGACCCCCTCCTCTGGGGATCAAGCCTGAAACCCAGGCATGTGCCCTGACCGGGAATTGAACCATGATCTCCTGGTTCATAGGTTGACGCTCAACCACTGAGTCACACTGGCCAGGCCATGCTCAGCTCTTAAAGCCACACTTAACTTTTCTTATAGCAAATGGAACTCAAAGCAAAATGTTCCTCTTCCTTTAATGCAGCGGTTCTCAACCTGTGGGTCGCGACCCCCTTGGGGGGTCAAACAACCCTTTCACAGGGGTCACCTAAGGCCATCAGAAAAGACATCTATAATTACATATTGTTTTTGTGATTCTTCACTATGCTTTAATTATGTTCAATTTGTAACAATGAAATTGGGGGTCACCACAACATGAGGAACTGTATTAAAGGGTCGCGGCATTAGGAAGGTTGAGAATCACTGCTTTAATGGAAATTGTCTCTGCTAATTGGATCTGTTGAGTGATGAAGGAAGCTCTTGAGGGGTCGGAGGAGGGTGAACCAAGCTCAAAGGAGGAGCTTGTGGGCTTGATGACTTGTTAAGCTCAAACTTTTTTTAAAAAATATATTTTATTGATTTTTTACAGAGAGGAAGGGAGAGGGAGAGGGAGTTAGAAACATCGATGAGAGAGAAACATCGATCAACCTCCTCCTGCACACCCCCTACTGGGGATGTGCTCGCAACCATGATACATGCCCTTGACCGGAATCGAACCTGGGACCCTTGAGTCCCCAGGCCGACGCTCTATCCACTGAGCCAAACCGGTCAGGGCTAAGCTCAAACTTTTTACACATTTCTGCTCTGCAGACTAGCTGAATGGTGGAATGGATTATTAATGAACAAGAACAATTTCTAGTTTGGTCCCCAAAGAGCTTTGAACAGGAAGAGAAGAGCTGTTTCTTCCTGACTGGTGAAGGGATCTTAGGCCAAGTTTGAGGTAGAGGTAGAGATGGCCTCCGCCATGAATATGGGTACCATATCTCGTGCCAGAGCCTTTAAAGCTGGGCCTAAATTACATTAGACATTGCTGTGCTAAATTATATGTTCTGCAAAAATACTCCACTGATTCTAAATCGATTATTTTTACATAATCATCTTTTCCTAAGGAGACACTGTCATTCTCTGATTAGATGTGGTGTTTGCATGCATCCCTTGGTGAAATGCCTAGCACTTCAACAAGGAGGAGCTCCACCTTCAAGCTGGACATGTTCTCAGGGCAGCTCCCCCCTCCTTGGGCTGTGGCCTCAGGACTCTGTGCCCTTTGTGTCTAGCTGATTTCCCTTGGTGGTGAGTCACCCACGATCCGACACTCACAGTGTGAGAACGGCATTAATAAAAGGGTGAGAAATTGTACAGTGCGTATGCAAATGACAAGTAGACAGTGAGAACAGCTTAGGGGTGAGGGTTGAAGAGAAGGAACAGAAGGATGACGAAATTTTAGGGGCCGGGACCGAGAGAACACGAGCTGGGGTACAGAGGGAGCGTTCTGCAGAAACATCTACTTCAACTAAAGGTTCAAAGGAGAATAAATCCAGGGCGAAACAAGAAAGATGCATGTTCTCTCAAAAGTTGGTTAAGCCCTAGCCAGTGTGGCTCAGTGGATAGAGCATTAGCCTGCGGACTGAAGGGTCCCAGGTTGATTCCAGTCAAGGGCACATGCCCAGGTTGCAGGCTCGATCCCCAGTAGGGGGCGAGCAGGAGGCAGCTGATCGATGCTATGATTCTCTCTCATCATTGACGTTTCTATCTCTCTCTTCCTCTCTGAAGTCATTTTTTTTTTAAAGTTGGTTAAAAGTAAAGACTCAGACTTAGATTGGGAAGGGGTACAGAGTCCGGGTAGACCAGTAGCATGTAATGCACTGTAAATAGAGAGGCAGAGATTTCTTTTGCATCTTCTTCTTCTTTTCCCTTGTCCTCTCCCACTCTCTTCTCCCCTCCTTTTTACCTCTTCCCTTCCCCCAAATACTCAGATAAACTTGACTTTCCTGTTATTCATTCATCAAGGTTCTTGACCACCTTGTACCTCAAAGTACATACAATATTACAGATTCCTTTAACCGAGGGTGTTCACACGTGGCCCTTGCTCTCTAGCCCAATTGCACAACTGTGGGTTGCTCATCACTTGCAATCCATCCAGAGCAAAGAACACGATTGTTCTATTGTTTCCTTTACAACCAATGGCAAGAACATTTAGAAGTGGATGGCAGGGAGAAGGTGAAGTGTTTGACCATAGCATGAAGAAAATCTAATTGGTGGAGATTTGGAATTGCAAATGCCATGGCCTTGTTAGCACCGCTCTGTAATGAATTAGACGTATTGGGGGTGGTGAATGAGAAGGAAAACCCATCCAGCATGCCTCTCACCATTTGATTTTGGTGACTTAGTAGGTGGTGTCACTGGGTATACAGGAAGAGGAGTTGTTTGGGGGAGGGGGAGGTTGGGCCAAAGTTTGGGGCATGTGGGACTTTAAGGTAATTGGGGCTCGGTTATTGCCAGATATGTATGTTTGAAGCTCTGGGGAGATTAGAGTTTAAGTTTCGTGTGTATTTTCAGTATTTGTTGAGGTTATGAATTTGGACAGGATAACGCATGCAAGCATGTACTAGAGTGAGAAGAGTAAAAGTCAAAGCACTTGAGAACACAAATACTTAAGGCTCATCTTATCTAGAGGCCCCGTGCACGAGGCACATGCACTCGTGGGGACCCTCAGTCTGCCTGCACCCTCTCGCAGTCCGGGAGCCCTCAGAGCACTGCCGCCACCACTACTGCGCTCGCCAGCTGTGAGCTCGGCTTTTGGCTGAGCAGAGCTCCCCCTGTGGGAGTGCACTGACCACCAGAGGGCAACTCCTGCATTGTGTGTCTGTCCCCTGGTGGTCAGTGCGCATCATAGCGACTGGTCATTCAGCCATTTGGTCGATTTGCATATTAGCCTTTTATTATGTAGGATTCTGGGATTTAGACACTTAGTACATAGTCTCCTCATGATTGACTCCAGG